CAATTCCCATAATTTCCCAGAATTCCCCCAGAATTTTTTCAGAATTCCCCCAGAAATTCCCATAATTTCCCAGAATTCTCCAGAATTTTCCTGGAATTTCTCTGGAATTCCATCCTGAATTCCCCCAGAATCCCCCAGAATTCCCCAGAAATTCCCAGAATTCCCCCAGAAATTCCCAGAATTCCCCCAGAATTCCCAGAATTCCCAGAATTCCCAGAATTTTCCCCAGAAATTCCCAGAATTTCCCCCACCTGGCCGCCCTGGCCGCCTTTTTGCTCTCCAGGCTGATGGGGACGTTGAACCTCTCGGCTCTTTTCTGCATCCTCTGAGAAACACGGAAAGGGAACACGGGCATTGGGGATTGGGGGATTTGGGGGGATTTGGGGGAATTTTGGGGAATTTTGGGGATTTACAGGGGGGAAAATAAAAAAAAATGGGGTTTTCTGGAAAAAAAATGGGATTTTTTAGGGGAAAATGGGGTTTTTTAGGGAAAAAATGGGGTTTTTTTGGAAAAAATGGGGTTTTTTAGGAAAAAATTGGGATTTTTTTGGAATAAAATTGGATTTTTTAGGAAAAAATTAGGATTTTTTAGGAAAAAATTGGGATTTTTTTAGGAAACAAATTGGGATTTTTTTAGGAAAAATATTGGATTTTTTAGGAAAAAAAATGGGATTTTTTAGGAGAAAATTAGGATTTTTTAGGAAAAAATGGGATTTTTTTTAGGAAAAAAATTGGATTTTTAGGAAAAAATTAGGATTTTTTAGAGAAAAAATTAGGAATTTTTTTTCAGAAAAAAAATTGGATTTTTTAAGGAAAAAATTTGGATTTTTTTAGGAAAAAAATGGGATTTTCTAGCAAAAAATTTGGATTTTCTAGGGAAAAAAAAAGGGATTTTTTAGGAAAAAAATTGGATTTTTTTAGGAAACAAATTGGGATTTTTTTAGGAAAAAAATTAGATTTTTTCAAGGAAAAAATTAGGATTTTTTAGGAAAAAAGTGGGATTTTTTTAGAAAAAAAAATGGATTTTTTTAAAGAAAAAATTGGCATTTTCTAGCAAAAAAAAATTGGGGTTTTCTGGAAAAAAATGGGATTTTTTTAGGAAAAAAAGGGATTTTATAGGAAAAAAATTTGGATTTTCTAGGGAAAAAAATTGGGATATTTTAGGAAAAAAATTGGATTTTTTTAGCAAAAAAAAAAAAAGGATTTTTTAGGAAAAAAATGGGATTTTTTAGGAGAAAATTGGGATTTTTTTAG